GAGTAGTGCTTAAAAAGTAAAGAATTATTTTTCTTATAAAAGGGAATCCTGAAAACAAGCTTCCCTATTAAATCACAAAACAATAGAATTTTTTAAAGACCTAAAAGTATATTTTACAGTAAAACTTCATACTCAAAGTGGACTTCCAGTGTTGGTGTTATTCTAATAGTATTTATTCAATCATCTCCAGAGGACTGGTATTGCATGTCCTTTAATAAGATTCAATCTTTTGATTGTTGAATTTTTAAAAACAACACATCTACAAGTTGCAGAGAGACCTTTAAGAAAAGCCACAAGAAAAATGATGATACATTCAATTGGCCCTAGGCTATCTCAAATCTAAAGAAATCTAAAATGGATCAATCCTTTCCAGAATTTAGTGACTCGGAATTTCATTCTATTCCAACTTTGTCAGTCTTAGACTATAAAGACTAGGGTCATTCTAGGTAGACCCAAAAGTAAATACATACAAAGTTTTAGAGTAGCTCTGAAATCAGCCTTATGTACTTAAAGTCATAGTGGCTGTGGCAGATGTATTTACGTTTCATGATTATTCCTTCCCTCTCCACCTTTGCCATGGCTTCCCTGTGGGTGGAATATACTTCTCAGTCATTGACTTTGGGTTTAATTAACTATATGACTTGCTTTGATCAATGGAATGTGGACAGAAGAAGTTCTGATGTTCTGACCTGAGGTTTTAAAAAGCTTCTGTATCCTGCTATCTCCCATGAGAAGAGCATACCCCAGGCAGCGGCTGCTCCTTCAATAGGTCCCACGATGAGTAGGATTGAATGAGTAGACTGAATGCACATGGAGTAGACTGAACTGAACCCACAGCCTAGAACCACTACAGCCAACCACAGACCCATGAGCAAGAAATAAATATCTGTTATATAAACCACTGAAATCTTAGGGTTGTTTGTTGCCACAGTGAAAGTTAATAGAGTGGCCAACAATAAAAGAGTTCAAGATCCTATTTTCTGGTACCACTCTGGTCCAAATTCAGACTTCCAGGCTCATTCTCCAAAACGGTGCACTAAAGCAAACAAGTTTTTATTTCTGGAAGTACCACACATTGGCCAAACATTTATCTGACAGCTTGACAGCTTCAATATTAATCTCATTTGAAGATGTATCCATCATCCAGGATTAATGACCTTTTAACTTCCTCTACTAAAGTTAAAGCTCCTTGAAAGCAGAATCTGTGTCTGATCCACCACCCCCTCACAGTACCTAATACAGTGTTTTGTTTTGCACTTATTAACCATTTGATAAATAACACTCTATTCCAGCTCACAGTTACTACCGCTTTTCAGTGCTGTCCAGGTCCAAAATGTTGTTGATTGTTGTCATATCCAAAAATGACACCCTGAGTCACAGAATTAATCATATATTTGAAGTGACAGAAATAACTAAATATGATCTTTCTACCTGAGGAAAACACAGGACAACTAAAGTACTATGTAATGAATGATGCTCAAGGCTGCTATACCTTCAAAACGGTACACAGATTCTTTCAAGGAATACTGAGAGGTAGAAGGAATGGCCAGATGGCACTCCCCATCATTGCTAAACATGCAGTAAAAATGTATCAAGACTTCAAGGGTACAATTCCAAGGGAGGTCCCATAGAGGGGCCTATCAGCCCCTTTACCGTAGCTCTTATCTGTCTGGAGTATCTTTATCATTGGTCCTCAGTGTCACTATCTCCCGCTTACTGTCCCTGCAGTGTAATTTTCTCCATCATCCTCTATCACGCAACTAATCTGTTACTTTCCTCTTCTTCTCTATGATTTTTTTTCTTTCTAGACTCTTCCTTTCTCTGCCTTTCATTAATACTCCCAAGCTTTGGTACAAAAAGATACCACCATGCATCGAAAGTATTCCCTCCCTTCACAACAAATCAAACCAACTGCCATACACCGGATATAATTTTCAGGCCTCATAGTCAAGAAAACCAGGTTGTGTTCCTTGCAAGATGCACAGGGACTCCCAGAGATCTCTACACCCCGTCAGCTATCTAAGTATTTGAGTCATTAGAGAAATTTAAAGATAAGAATTTATTCCAACTGTCCAAGAATTCTCCTGAACCCCATAGTCTAGACAATTTCAGTTCATCAACGATGTATAGTAGCAAAGTTGTCTCCAAATATGCTCAATTACTTAATACCCAAATCTCATTATTGCTATTTTTCCTCTTAAGTAATTTTGAGTTGGTGATAGCTAATAAAATTGTAAATGAAATTATCTATTATACTTAATCTAAATTCATAAAATATAGACCCATCTGTAATTAACATAAATTTTTCCTTTCTTCACAGAGTATCCTTTCTCCTTTTATTCTGATAATAGCACCCTCCTCATTTCCTCTGTGAAATATCACCCCTGTCTCCCCTCAATTCCCACAGAACAATGGGATTCAAATAGACGAGATCATTTTCTTAAACACCACTCAGCCTAGCCACAAGCTACAGCGTGCATCTGTCTGAGGTTGGGCCAATCACCGTACTCCACCCTGCTGGCTACAGTAGATTTGTATAGCGTATAGATAAGGGCATGCAATCCAAACTGAATCAATCACAGACCTTCCCAAAGATTTTTAAAATTAAGGAAAGAGGAACAATCTCTCTCGGGCAGTGATGAAATTGGGCAGTGATGAAAGCTGCCAGCAGCCATGTGCCTTGCCATGTGGAGAAAGATGGTCTACGAGAACTTAAGCCAAGATGCAAACAGAAGCAGATCCTAGAGACATAGAAGACTGAGTGCCCTTGGCAGTATTCAAGTCCCTAGTTCCAGTTACCGTAGGGACTGGCACACTTCTGGTCTTCCCATGAGTACATAATAAGCCTTCCAATAAACTCCCCCTTTTCACCTAGATTAGTTCAAGCTGTTTTTTTGCAACCAGTAGCCAAGGAAATTCTACATTATATTCCAAACAAATTCCATAGTAATCAATTTGACTCCTTGGGAGTGAAGCACAGGAATACTACAGGAAATTCTAATGTATCTACAGCAAATCTGGTATCAATCCACAAACTGGCATTCTTCTATACCTTCTTCACTGGGAATTGCCTTGTTCTTTCATAAGACAATCAATTTCTTACGAGCAAGAACAATACATATGTTTATGAATTTCCTTGACTCTTAGCACATAGATGTTCGTGAGAATGTGTTGGCTAAAAACATGAAGACTGGGATTCTATGACTGCTACACGATCCTCTGAAATATTATCAGATCCAAGGTAAGGAGGTGTTGTGTCTTGCAAAAATCTTTCTCAGGACAGTGATGCTTGTGTAGCAAGACAGCACTAAGGGAATTAGAGAAAATCATTATTGACCTGATTGTTACCAAAAGATACATGCCATGGATGGATTTAAAGGGATAACAGAGACCAAAAGGGACTTGGGTGGCTGTAGAGAAGGCAGTTTTAATCTGATATGAAGGATCTGACTCAAAAGCTCAGCAAAGGAAATCTAGCTTTTCCCTAAGGATTGGTTCTAAGAGGAAGCTACCAGGAATTCAAAATTAAACAGGCAGGAAAAGTAAAATCTAGTCTGTGATAAATGCATTAAACTGTATTAAGGAATAAGTCATATATCTATAAATCTCTCTTCCTATGTTTACTGTATCCCTGCAATAAAATATATTTGCACTCAAAGTACTTGACCAGTTTTGCTTTGGCCTGGTGGCCCACTATGGAGACAATCTGAGACAAAGGGTTCAGGTCAGAATATATTGATCAAGAAAACGCCCTCGCAATGCTCACAAGATGGAAGTGGAAGTAAATATTCAGGCAGCCTTGCTGTAGACCTTTAGCTTTGCCCAGAGGGCAGGCACCCTAAGGCCTGCTGACCTTTCTTATCTCCCTGACTACCAGAACTCAGGCAGAGGTCTAGTTCTCAATACAATCATTGCAACAAATAAAGTAAATCCATCCTAACTCTGTTAAAGCCAATGTCTACACCCTTAACCAATTCTAAGACAGACAAAGAAAAAAAAAACTAAGCTGTTTATTCTCTATATAATTTTAAGCTCATAGAAACTTACATATTTGTTTTGTTTGCTTGTTTGTTTTACATACCCATTTAGCACCAATGCATGAACTTAATACATGCCAGTACGGTAATAGAAAAAACTGAATCATATTACAAAATGCAAATTCTTCTTAAATGCATTAACTTACTTAAATATTTAGGTTTTAGACATCAACTTAGAACAATATTTCCTCTAAGTTATTCCAGAAGACTATTCACAGGTAACTTTCGGAAAACTCCAGTCCACAATTCTTCCAATGTAAACTGCAGTTAGTCTTTTCCATTAGCAACATGCTTACAGAGCACACTAGAATATCTGGGATCAGTACTCCACAGACTGTTCTAAGTATGTATGAACAGAGTTACCGAATTTGACCCAAACTCATGCAGCAAGAAAAAAAATTACCAATAACTATACTAATAATTTGGTTTCAAAAGAATATTGAAATATGGAAATTTAATTAAAATATCTTCAAATTCCAGATTATATCCCACAGAAAAGGATGTCATTTTAGTAAAATTTGCTTAGAATTTCCATTTAGTACTCTCAGGAAAAAAAACAAACTGGAGACAGAGAGCTACCTGATAATTATTTTTATTCACCTCTACTTTGATAATGAAGCCCTGGTGGCGTAGTGGTTAAGAACTCGGCTGCTAACCAAAAGGTCAGCAGTTCAAATTCACTAGCCGCTCCTTAGAAACCCTATGGGGCAATTCTACTCTGTCCTATAGGGTCACTATGAGTTGGAATCGACTCAATGGCAATGGTTTTGTTTGTTTTTTTTTAATTCTGATTATAATATGACTGTATTATAAGCCCTTCAAAAAATAAATTTAGTAAAGTTAATTTCCAGGCCTTTTTACCTTTCAGTTCCTGTCATGGAAATAATAAACAGAAATCTCACTTCTAGTGCTTAGGAAACAAAGAAGCATGTGCTTTAAGGGACAAAATTGTATTAGTGTTACCTGCATTGATGCTCCTTCCACTCTTGCAACGCAGGCGACCCGATCCAGGAAAGTCACTGCCACAGGCACAGCCACAAAGAAGCCTTTGCAAAAGGCCTTGAAGTATCTTCTTACCCAGCCTTGAGACTGAGCCATATCTAAAAACACAAAGAAATCAAGTAGGAAACTAGCCTCGAGAAAGGTGAAAAATAAAGACACAAAAACAGTCCAAGATAAATAAGAGTTAAAGAACTGCAATCTCTTTTCTTAATATATTTCACACTCATCTCTGTAACCATTAGAATAAATTTGACTTAAAGTTCCAAAAGCAAAAACATTAACTCAGGTTAATTCTGTTCAGCATCTCAAGTTCACTTGATAACTTCAGTGGAAAATTTCTCCTTACAAAGCAATAATTAGGCAAAAAGAAGCATTCCAAAAGTAAATCTTTCCTGTTGCCAACTGACTATCATGGTGGAGATGCTACTTAGACCCCCCGATATCTGTTCTCTTCTTCTTTACTAATAGAACTTTTTGTTGGACATGGCTGTCCAGCTAAAGATTATATTTTCCATCCTCCCTTGCAGCTAGGCGTG